GAGAGGCCGGGCGGGCCGAGCGACTCCGCCCAGAGGAGCTGCCGGCCCGGCGCGCGGGCTCTCCGGGCGCCGGCTCCTCCTCCGGCCCTGCCTCCCCCCACTCCCCGCGCCTCCCGCTCTTCCTCCCGCTGCCCTCCCCTTCCTGCTGAGAGCGTGGCCGAGCCAGCCGCCGGCCCTCGGAGAGGAGACGGAGCCTGTGCACGACTGTGGTCTCTACCCCACCCCTCCCGATGGCAGATCTGCCCGCGGAGCGAGCCTCCCCAGCCTCAGACCCGGAGAAACTTCTCATTTCTCCCCCCGGGATCGGTCCGCTCCAGCCCGCTCGCGGGCACCTCCGCTGTTAGTGTTTCATCGCCGACTCCGGCGAAGCCGCGGCGGGCTGGGGCGGGGACGTGCTGACTGGAACTCACACGGGGCCCGAGCTTTTTAGGGACCTGGCCTACCTATTTACATCCTAAATTAGGTTGCTGTTAGCCACGTAGGGATTTGTCCCGGGAGAAGAAAGGAAGGGGGAGGACTCGACTGCGCGCGGCTGCAGTAGCCAAATTCGATGATTGGATCCACGGCACTCTGACCTACAGGCGAAAAGGAGGGAGGATTTAACCTCCGTGGGGGTAGTTAATTTATGTTCCGAATGGTGAGGAGATAAAGAACTTCCTTGCCTGCAGTGGCCCGATAAAGTAGAACGCAGACTATCAAATCAACCTGCATGAGAGTCCTGCTTGCATGTTGCAATTTCAGAAATGTATTATTACCATAATCCTTGACGTCTTTTGCTAGACGCCTTCTTTTTCTCAGAATCATCTTAATAGTGCTGGGGAGCAGCAGTCTGGATGTGTTGTAATCCGTTTTCAGGCGAGGGAAGTGTTTAAAAGAATGGAACCTACCAAAACCGAATGGTTGGCCAGAGAGAGTGTGCCTTCAGAAATAAAACCAAAGGGAGGCTTTAATCTTGTAACTCGGAGCTTGGGTTAGCAGTTCGATTGGTGGGTTCCCCTCCAAACTGTTCTGGATTGGAGGTTTTGTTTTTAGTTTTCGATTTATCTATATTAAAAACTGCAGCGAGTAGACAGCTTTCAAAATGCCATAAGCTTTTAAAAAATGTCAGTTTCCCAAAAGGGTGTGACCATTTTTTTTTTTCCACGTAGAAAAGCAGATGTTTGTACATCCTAAGTCTGAAAGCCTACACCCTTTGAGTACTAATGCAGATAAGAACCCACGATTTGTAGTGTGGCCATTGGAAATTCTCTTTAATTTGAAGTAGTAAAAAGGATAAGCCACAAAGCAGTGTGGCTTTTTTTTTTTTCCGAAAGGATAACTTATTTAACATTTTTGGTATAGAAACATTTCATGGCAATATTTACAGAATCTTTGGAAAGGAAAAAGAAAGTCTCCCCCCCTCCCCCTTAACAACCATCATGCATCTTAACCACGTATACATATTACTTTGTGTTCTTGCTTTCCCCACCTATTTTGTCCCATGAATTATTCCGGGTTGCCACATAGTCTTCATACTTAAAATTTTTAGTGGCTGCGTAACTTATCCATGGTATTTTGGAGGCTCCAGATAGTTCTGGGAACAGAGGGGAAAAGTTGGATCTTGTTTTTAGTGGAAACTTCATCTGTTAGCTCATTTTATCCTGCCATGTTATAGATCACATTTTTTCCCCTTAAGGAAAAAAAAAAAAAAAGGCGTCCTTCCAAGTTGAATTTGATCCTTGTTTTCTGCCGTAGGTCAGGTATGGGAAGGCACTTTGGGTAATGCTTTTAATTACCGATCATTAGTTGCCTTCTTATTTAGGCTTGATGCTTTTCCAAGGTTCGCTCAGGGTTTTCATTTTCATCTCACAAGATAACTCCATGTGCTAGAAGATGGCTCATGGTTAATGATCTTAATGATGTTTCTGTCATGTTGCTGTGTGTACCTGAATCACTAATGATCCGCATCTTTGGTAGCATTTTCTTTTTCTGAGTCTCCTCAGCCACTCCCTCCTTGCCTTCCCCCCAACCCTCCCCTCAGCATGTGGTAACTATTTGTTCTTTGGCTTTTAGGATCTAGGCATTTGGAAGGCCTGACATTTTAGAACATCTGGTGAATTTTTCTTAAAATTTAGTTGAGTCTTTCATTAGCTGATAGCTGGGAGCCAGAAAGGTCTGTTTTCCGTCACATGGATTATCAAAAAGGTCTTTCTTTGATTGTCAGCGGGCATCTTAGTTCCTACTTGAAACTTCACGCTTTGTTAAGAGCCTGGGTCCCTTCAGCCAAGTGATGTTATATATAGGGCTTATTGGTAGCTTATTTTCTGCAGAATACTGTGTTCTGTTATTTCTCAGTTGCTCTACAGTTGGAGGGCCATTGTTTATCTCTTCTCAAAATAACTGCTTATTTCTCAGGTCTTGGTTATATACAGCTCCAAACACTGCAGAGAGAATTTTTTTTTTCTACTAGAAGATTCAGTTCTGTTCGTGGTGTAACAGGCAGGAGTTGTGCATTTGGTTGGGAGGTTTTTTTCTAATAGGCGTGGAACTATTCCCAGTGTATCCACTTACAGGCTCTGACAATAAATCTTGTGAAAAGTTACAGTGACTGGAATTCTTCTCTAATGTATACTGTTGGAGTACATGAATATAGTGTTTCACCTAGGACTTAGTAACTTCTTACTGCATATCCCCTAGGAATGGCTTTGTGCTCTTTTAAAATTAGTCATACCTGTTACTTGCAGTCGGCTTGGCAGGGATGGAATGAGGTTTGATTTGGGGACCGTATGAAAAGCATATGGAATGCAAGCATTTTGTGCGACATCTGTTTCAAGCATTGCTTTGTAGACAGGTTTTATACACAGTGTCACAAGTGTTAACACTACTTTTATAAAATACAGCTTTAGTGTACACAGCTGGGATGAAACCCTGTTTAATATTTTATTTTATTATTTTTTAAAGATTTTATTTACTTATTTATTTATTAGAGAGAGAAATAGCATGAAAGGGGAGAGGGTCAGAGGGAGAAGCGGACTCCCCGCTGAGTGGGGAGCCCGATGCGGGGCTCGATCCCAGGACTCCAGGATCATGACCTGAGCCGAAGGCAGTCGCTTAACCAACTGAGCCACCCAGGCGCCCCCTGTTTAATATTTTAAATTTCTACTGTAACCATATAAGACTAATACAGGGTTTTTTTTTTTTTAAAAAGTGGGGCTTGTTTTGCATACTGGTTCTTAATAGTTTGGCTGAGGTTCTGCTGTCTTGTATGTTTTGTTTTGCTATGAATCATAATTTCCTTTTATTCAGTGAATAGCTGAGGTAAGCTTGTCGCTGCTACTAGTTCTGAGCAAGCTGAAGGCTCCGAGAAGAAAGTGAGCCATGAGACTGGGGGATATAATAAATATTCAAAATAGTTTGATGTTTGAAGCTACTTTCTTAAAATGATTTCTTTTTTATTGAAGGAAATGCTTTTTTAACATAAAACTGAGTCACTTTTCTAAAAATAGCTGAAACACATTTATAAATAGTGGGCAGAAGTTGTTTTGTTTTGTTTTGTTTTTTATAAATAGGAAGAGATGTTTCAAAGAAATATCCCAAGTCTGTAATTTGAAAACACAGAGCACTTGAAAAAGTGAAATTTTCCCTTGAGTGTTGCTTTTTCACATCCTGTAGCTAGTTTTGTTCACTGGTAGCTGCATGCCCGAGTCCACATGTGTCAGCAAAGGCAGCAGTTTGGCTTACAGATTTAGGAAGTAAACTTAATGCTCTTTAAATGATCTGTGTTCCAAACATGTATTGGTAGTTTAACTAAGGTATCACTTTTTCCTATGCCCCGGAGTATAGGTGATGGGCCTTATTTGGACAAAAGAGTGACTTAGAGGGGAGCCTTTCACTGTGGCTGGAAGCTAAGGAAGTGCTTTTGGGTGAACCGGTAGCAATGGGGGCCTGTGAGAGCACCCTGAGACAAGAAGGTGCACTCGAATCTCAAAATGCCACAAAGGGGGTGCATTGACTTCTGTGATGAACTGTGTCTCCCCTGACCTTGCTTCCTTTTCAGCTTTCATTGGCCATTCGGAAGCATGCGATGATAGGCATTTTGAAATAACAAAAGGGGAGAGGAACCATTCACACAATGAAAAGGAAACCTACTGAATGGGGAGAAAACACTTGCAAATCATGTATCTGGATAAGGCATTGATGTCCAACATCTATAAAGAACTCATCCAACTCAATAGCAAAAAACCAATCATCTGACTTAAAAATGGGCAGAGGAGGGGCACCTGGGTGGCTCAGTCGGTTAAGCGTCTGCTTTTGGCTCAGGCCATGAACCCAGGGTCCCACATTGAGCTCCTCGCTCAGCGGTGGCCTGCTTCTCCCTCTCCCTCTGCCACTCCCCCTGCTTGTGCTCTCTTGCACTCTCTGTCAAATTAATAAATAAAATTCCTAAAAAATGGGGATCTGAATTGACATTTCTTCAAAGAAGACGTCCAGATGGCCAACAGGTACATGAAAAGATG